TGGCTACACAAACCCCGCACTACTGCGTGTGCCCAAAGCAAAGCTGCTATAATAAAAGCACACCCAGCAAACCCACAGGCGGCTGGGAGTGCTGGATGGGGCAGGACATGTCGAGCACCTCTGCCCACCAGCACCTCCTGCGGGCCAGGGACCCACTGTCCCACACCCAGCCAGCAGAGATGCCTTAGAAAAGGGGCAAGCAGTCTTAACTGGGGACAAATCCAGTCCAGATGCATCCTCAGCCTGGAACGGAAAAGGGATGGAGTGGTCCTGCTGTGAACCACACGTGCAGCAGAGTGGGTAGCTCTCAGGAGCACCTGCTCATCTCTCCCCCGACTCTCCCACGGCATATCCATCCCTGCAAAAGGCTCAGCCGGCTTAACGAGGCTGTTTTGTTAACCAGTTAGGCGCCTGGGTTGGACTCAGGGGCCACTCCAGCACTGCACAGCCCTTCTGGGGAGTCCTGCCGGGTTGGGAGCTGGTGTCCACAGCATCACCCCGAGTCGCAGGAGGCAGAAGGGACCAGCCTTGGTGGGCGCACGGATCTCTGGTGACACGCAGCATCCTTCCTGCAGCATGGGGCTCCTCAGCCTGGCCGAGATGTCTCCTGCTTCCCAGCCACCATGCAGGGGGGTCTCTGTTGATAGGAGAAACACAGGGGACACCCACAGCAAGGGTTTGGGCAGGTCGCCCCAGTGCTTGACCCCCAAAGAGGCAACGCAGCTCCATCTCACCAGGCTTTCCCCTGATCTGCCCCAGCATAAGGCAGCCCAGCCAGCTGGAGCGGCTCTGCCCTGCCCAGAGCCCAGAGAAAATGGACTGCAACAGAAATGAGGCAGAACTAAACTTGGAGGAATTAGAGGAATAATCACAGAGCTCCTCAGCTTTAACAGCAAACCAGAATTAGTTACTTTCTCATGGGAATTTTCTCGGCTGTGCTCACTTTTCTCCAGGCTTCTCACTTTTTTCCTATGAAGTGCCTAAACAGAAATATTACCAGCTTTCATGGCAAAAACTTATTTTAAAATAATTTTATTTTACCAGTCAGAGAGAAGGGGAGAGGGTGAACAAAAAAATTCACAGAAAATACTTTTTTCTCTCAATATTTTTACTTTCCATTAAAAAAAAATCTCCTTTCCTCAAAATCAGTTTCACAAGGATCTTCCAACAGGTCCTAATCAATAGGGTTGGGTTTTCTTTAATCGTTATCTTGGCAGAACTTTTTGTTTAAAAGCTTAACTAAAGAGATCCCCACTGTCCCGTAGTTGCCCCTCTCCTGCTGCCTTGGCTGGCGGGGGCCTCATTGGTGCCTTGGCCAGTGGGTGTGGGACAGCCCAGGACAGCCGCCCGGCAGGTACCTGCCCTCCATCTCCTCTGCCGCCGCCATGGGGTGGCCAGCTCCCACGCAGCAGGACCAGCAGAGCAGGCAAGACCTTTTAGCACCTCCAGAAGGACGGTCCTTGGCCAAAGCCCTGCGTTGGATGCCCCAGAGGGCGCAGGGGGGGGGCAAGGAGGGGACGCTCCTGCTCGCGGCCCTGGGGAGGCGGCAAAATTCCCTCGTCCTGTGGCCTGCGGCTGCCCCGAACCCCTCCCCAGCAGGGCCGGGGGCCGCTGACCATTTCTCTGCTGGTTATTAGATTGTTCACGGCTCTCAGGTTTGTTTGAATAAGCTCTTTTGTTCGCTGGAGCTTTCCCACGTCCCTTCCTTCGCTAGGCAGTCGCGTGTCCTGAGTCAAAGAGGAGCCCCGGCCGCCAGTCCCCAAAGAAAGTTTTCTTCGGAGCAAGACATCTGCGTCGGAGGGAACCTGCCAACATCTGCCACACTTTCCTGCTTTTCAAGAGCCTTTCTTTCCTTCTTAAAAAGTGCAGGAACAGATGTTAAAAGTTGTTTTCTTTCTCCGGGGTGTGAAATGTAGACAAATAGCAAAAAAGAAAACTCCAAGCAGCGCTGACCCCTTTCTCTTTCAGGTTTTTTTTTTTTTCTTTTTTGGAAAGCCCAGGAAAAAAGGGAGGCTTTGTTTATGAAGGAGAATCCCCTTTTCAGTGAAACCTGGCAGTGGGCAATGCAAAAGGAAAGCGGGAATTTGCAGAAAGCTCCCTTTAATGCTCATTTGCATTGGCCTGTTGGGTCCCTACAATCCCCAGCACAGATGTCAGCCTTACCCCAAAGCCAGGGCAGCTCTCCCGCCCACACCCCCCCGCCTCCAAAATAAAGGCCTTTGCCCCAACTGAGAGGTGTAAAATAACTGTTTACAGCAAAAGCTGCTCTTCTTTTTCACTGCGGTGCTGTCTTACAAATGAACCTTGAAATGAGCTCACCCAGAGCAGACGCCAGCGGGCAAGCCAAGGGTCTCACCCCCTGAGGAGGGGGGCTCAGCTGCCCTGCGTGGGCTGGGCATGGACCCTGGCTGGGAACCGGGGGCCACCGGGCTGTCCTTGCCCCCCCCATCCACCCGTCTGTCCCCAGCACCCACCGCCTCGCTTCCTTCATGATGGAAGCTGCTTTGCCGGGGAAGCCGGTGTGCCACCCTCTTGCAGAGCATCCCCCTTGCCCGGCAGCTCGGCGGCACCTCACAGGGCGAGGAAAGCGGGAGGGAGGGTAAGGCAGAAGCAGCAAGTCGAGGCCAAGGAGGAAAGGGAGGGTGAGGGAGGAGGTTTCACCACCATAGAGACCAGAGGGACCTTTCCTGGTGGTGCTGGGGCTGGCTAGCCCATGGGCCACCTAAGATGGGGGGGCACACACAGCACCCTGCAGCTGTGCCCAGCCAGGGAGGGATGCCAACTGGCACAGGAGATGTTTTTCACACATTTTAGGCAATTCACTGACACCTCTGCCATGCTTGGCTGGGCCAGGACCCAAGGTGGTCTCAGGCTTCCCCCTGACTGCCTTGGGAAGGTCCCTCTTCCTGCACAAGGGGCTGGGGGAGCGGTGTCTGGGGGGGAGACAGGGGACTTCTCCTCCTCCTCCCCACCCACCGTCCAAGCCAAACCTGGCTGGAAGCTGTGTGCCCAGGCGATAGGCAGGCTCTTCCAGCCTGGAGCACCCTAGCAAACCGCCCAGAGCCAGGGGGGCGCCCGCCCCGTGCCCCCCTCCCCGTGCGCAGGGCAGAGCCCTACCCCAGCCCACCCACCGCCTCTTCCACGCCGAGCTGCCAGAGCTGTGTGCCGATACAGACGCCTCAGCTACGCCGTTTATAAATACCGGCAATGCTCCACTTCCCTGGGTAGGCTGGAAAAAGCTTGAAAAACCAACAGGGTCTTCACTTATGCGCAGCCAGGGCTGGCCGAGGCGAGCAGCTCCCACACGGAGCAGAGCGGTGGGACATCCTTTTGCTGTCCATGCTGTGGACACACCTGAGATGAGGAGCCCATCCCTGCTCTCTTTACCTGCCACAAAGGACAAGTTATTAACCTTCCCCTCCCAAACCATCCTCTCCCAGCACAACCACCACACCAGCCCGTCCGGGGCCCTTGCCAAGTAGGGCGCTTATAAAAGCGGGTAACTGCAGCCCAGCTCTACATCTGACTGACAAACCACCTCTGCCTGCAAGAGACCACGGCTGGGGACAGGATTTCAGGGTGAGCCCAGGCGGCAGGGCAGGCAGACACGCTGCAAGTATGTTTGCATTTACACACAGGCAAACACCCACCCACATGGCGTTTAAGCAAGGGACGCAATGTCCTCGCTTTTATCTCCAGGGTACATCCCCACCCACGGCTGGAGTGGGGGAGAGGGCTCCACGGCCACCGCCGCGCTATGCG